ATCGGATTAGGCTTACCACTTTAAGAAAGATTTAAGATCTTGACTGAAGCGGAAAGTAAATAGGATTTTAATTCCTATTCTAGATTGTTATGGGCTAATGGGCTGGAACCCAATTTAGCTTAACTTATAAGATAGCTCAACTCATAGAGTAGTCAGTTCACACGGTGGATTTAAGCGTAGGCCTAACCATAATTGGGCTAAGGCATTGGGTCATAATATGTTTATTTCATTATTGTGTCTCGTTAGGCCCAATACAATTTTTGGCTCATACAGACATCAATAATGTCATGTCAGTTAACTGATTCTACTAACAGATTTTGACGGAAAGTGGGTGATTGTCATTTTTAAATTTTTTGGTAACAAATTGTCATTAGGGTAAAGTTTGGGTGGGAGAATGTCGTTCAGCCATTTAATAAAGATCCGTTTGTTACGATTTATTCGAGTAAAGCTTATTGAAGAAGAGCATATGAAATATAGCTTTATTATGAAAAATGTGTTAGTTGCTTGGTTAGGAAAATGTAAAAAACTTTTTATTGCTAAATTTAAGGCACAAGAATAAATTAAGTCAAATATGTTTAATAGAATAATTTTTTTTTTTTTTTTTTTTTTTTTTAATTATAGTGAATCTCACATCAAAAGTGCATTGGAGAAGTCTTAAGCTTACAAGAGGGGAGTCCCTCCACCAAATAGGTTAGCATTTTAGGTGTGAAACTCCCAGCTCGTGACGAGTGGTATCAGAGTATGCTCAAGGGGAATCCCTCCACCTAATAGGTTAGTCTTTTGGGAAACAACCTAAAATAGTGCTTATAAATAAGCTGATCTTTTTAACTAGTAGATAAATCCAACCAAACACACTCTTATTATATTTATGTTTCAGAAAAATTTTAAACACATAGGATACTTTCAGCCAGCTGGTCCTAGAAGTTGCAAATGTTTACAATGATTCTTAGTTTAGTTTGTAATCAAATGTTTGGAATGAAACCTTTCTGGTGAAAGCATGATGCTAGCATAAGTCTGACTGTAAATCAGCCTTTTTTTTGGCTTTTATGTGGGATAGAACTCCACACATACATTCATTCAGATTTATTAAAGGCTAGACTATTGATTGCTTCAACATTGTCATTTGATCAATACAATCATGATTCATGACTAGAATTGATTTCTTACATTAATTAGTTCACAAATCATAAAAGGAATTTGAATTCTATGAATATATGAAAGGAAGAATATATCATATTATATGGCAAGTCAATCTTGGCTATGGAATAATAACTCTTTTTCAGTATATTATCTTCTCATATTTATATCTTCACTATCCATTGATTTGCCAGTTTAATTCTTTGATCTCCAGCCTAATTAATCAAAAAAATTAATGTTTTCATACCATATTACTTTTCGAATTATTAATGGTCAATATGGAATTAAGCTTATGAAAAGTCCTATATAAAGCAGTCTTACAAATTTGTTATGGCATAGAAGTTAAAGATTAAAAACATCGACGGAATGGAGAAAACTAAAGTCCAGTCTCTTCTGATTGTTTTCTTGGTGTTGGGGCTTCTTTCTATGCAACCTGTAGCTGCCAGTTTCAAGAGATGCTACCGTAACTGCATAAAAGGATGTATTTTTACAATTATAATTAATCCTGGTCAATGTCCTTTATCCTGCATAGGGCAATGCCTAGGCCACACATAACGGAAAAACCTCTGTAAACAGAAATGACCTCTGCAACGTCGGTTGTGTCTCCTCTTTGTGCTCCAATATTATGACCAAAGAAAACCTTCAAAAACCTGGAGGTAACTAATTAAACTCATAATATTTTCATGGTTTATTTATCTATAATTTATAAAGTATTCAGGTTTTTTGTATTTGTTATTGTCAGGGAAAGAGAAAGTGGAAGGGTGTTTGGATTCATGCTCAACAAGCTATTGTGCCAAGAATTGAACATATTCATGGAGGAGCTAACATGGAAAGTTTAAATAAAAGCGGTAAAAGTGCGCACCGTATACTAATCTTGTTATTGAGAATTTTTATGATGTAATGAAACAACAATAATAAATCCAATTGATTGATGTTATTGGAAATACACCGAGATTTAAAGGTACTACCTGTTGTTTATAAAGGAGTTATGATCCCACCAATGTCGGCGTTGTTACTCCCACATGGATGAAGCAAGAGAATACACAATGCTGAGTAGAGCTATAAAAGAACAATTGAGCCACAGAACAAAGCATACCTTTCTCGGCCTTTTGGCTAAGATCAAGTGTAGTATCTGTTCTTATCAGTTTAATATCTGATACGTGGGACATTGTCTCACATGATATTAAATTTATTTTTTAAGGGGGAGGATCCGCTACAGTAGCTTGCTACTGGGTTCCTTAGACGTCGTCCATGCTTTGCACTACTGCAAGGGTCTGGCGCACCCCTAACAAATCTAGTTTAATTATCTTTTTTCCAATGTTCAAAAATTTAATTATATAAAAAAACATTTTGTTAAAAAAACTACCTTACAGGTATCATGTAGGGGGAAAAAGATTTAAAGCTGATGAATTTGTAATTTTGGAAAGCTCTTTTAAGATTATAAAAAAGGAAAACGACAAATAAAAATTTTATGTACAAACTGCAGAATGTGTTGTAAAATTAATGGAAGAGTGGATATGAACTGATAGCTGAAGTTTGTGTACCAGAGTTTATGTGCATAATTTCATTTGTATGTATAATATTGCTTAAAAGAACAAGGAAAGAGGTGTATTAGATTTTGTTCAGAATTATCTATACAAGTTGACTTTATTGCAAGGTTGAAGTTATATATATGGTAGCCATTTTCAATGTTTTGGAAAAAAAAGTAAAAAATTAATCCTAGCATTAATATTTACATATCTATCATTCTTTAAGGAATATCAGATCTCTAAGTAATCCACTTAATTCCATGTCTATTTATGGCAAAATGTAGTTTAGTTACCGAAAATTACTATACAAACCTGTCATGAAAATTCCTATATAAACCTTTTCAGGGATTCAGCTGCTTTTCATCTTAGCTTGACATATCTTCTCTTGCATATATCAGAAAAGAAAATGGAGAAAAATTCATTTCAATTGATTTTGATAGTTTCTTTGGTGTTGGGGATTCTTTTTAGCCAGTCTACCGCCTCTTTCAATGAAATATGTGCCAAAGAGTGCCGCAATAGATGTTTGTCTCATGGTAGCCAAAATGTTGAAGAGTGCACTAAAGATTGCTTAAAGACTTGCAACTCTGAAACCTCTTTAGAGACTTCCACTGTCAAAAGAACCTTTACTTCTGCGAAATTGGTTGTGTTTATTCCATGTAAAAGTCTGATAAACCTTATATATCTGCCATACAAATTTGCGCATGTTGATATTTCAATAGAAAATTTTATTAGTTGTTTGGAACCAGACCTTAAAAACCAATGCTTTTTTTTTTCCTCCCACATCGGTGATGAGAGGCAGTTGAACCTTCTGAGTCCATTTTAAAACTACAACTAAATCTTATTGAAAAGGCATCTTTGCGCTTGGGGCAATGACGCAGCTAGTGAGGTTCTAACCGAGGCGCGTCTATTGCTGGTTGAAAACTATTTCCAAACCCCCTTTTAGGCCAAGGTTCAGCCTTGGCCTTTGAGAATTTCTGGAAGGGCTCCCTCTGGGGTAAAGTCCTACAATTCCTAGTTTAAGCACGCAGATACCAGCATTGACCAGTATAAACTTTACTGAAGAAAAGACCTACATCATTCTTAGTTTAAGGTTACAGATAACAGCATTGACCTGTATAAACGTTACTGAGGTAAAGACTTTTATATATGGGATTCCGGCAGGAAAGAAATTCGAAAAACCGAGGTAAAGACTTTTATATATGGGATTCCGGCAGGAAAGAAATTAGAAAAACCATAAACCTTGCCGGTTGATACCATATAAAAACCAGTATTAATGTAAGGACCAAGCCTGTATTAATTATCTTTAATTTAAGGACCGAGACTGAGCCAGTATTAGTTATCTTAATGTAAGGACCGATATAATATTAATTATATAAGGACGAAGCCAATATTAGTTATCTTGACATGGTTATGAGATAGAGTGAAAACCTATTGGAAGGTCTCAATTTTATCAATGAATTATATATGCAAGAAAAATAAATGAAAAATAGAGTATTTCTAAATAAGTTTCGCAATAAAATCTATTATGTCCATTTCACATACTTGTAATTCTTATTCAAATTTATTCTGGTATTATAAGACAATATTAAGGGGGTGTTTGTCTGAGCTTATGAAAATTAGCTTATAAGCAATAATTGCTTATAAGCTAAAATTAACTTATAAGCATTTAAAATTTTAAGCAATTACGTGTTTGGTTAAAGTACTTATAAGTGACTGATAAGTAATTGACGTGTTTGGTAAAATATGGCTTATAAGTACATTTTATTATAAAATTACTAAAAAAGGTACTATATTAAACAATGACATACTATGGAATTTTAAAATTAAACAAGGATAATGTGGTAATATACTTGGTCAAACTAGCTTATAAGCAAAGTACTTATAAGCCAAAAAAAATAAGTACCTCCCCCCCAACTTATTTTTTTTTGCTTATAAGCTCAACTTATAAGCTCAAAAAAATTATAAACAAACAGGTCAGCTTAATTTTATAGCTTATAAGCAAGTTTGACCAGCTTATAAGCTTAGACAAACACCCCCTAAGTCTTCTTTTGCTTGGTGCATGTGCTTAGAATTTAGTTAATTATTTGGCCGTTGAAAATGTAATGAAACAATACCAGGAAATTGGATCTAGCAATATCAGGTAGAGAGTACTAAAGAGATAAGAATTGCGATAGTGGTTTCATGAGCAGCTAGGGTTTTCTAAAGCCTTGAAATGGATATACATGAAACTTTGAAGATATAATTAAATTTTAAAATCCCACATGGCCTAGAAGATACAACTCTCAACCTGAACTTTCATTTATAAAATGCGTCAACTGCCCGGTTATAAGTATGGAGCCGCGTGGAGAGCACAAAGCGAACTATTCTTTCGCCTTTTACTAAAGAATACCGTGTGCTCGCCACTCTAAAACGGCATACCTCTATTTTTAGAGGGGTTGTTCTCTCTTGAGTGCAGCTCCCTATCAAATCTAGTTGTGAAAATTGCTTTTTATTAATATAATCTTGCTTAATTTTTGAGGGTTGTTATGCTTTATAAGTACAGCCAGACTGTGAATGTAACACAACCTTGATTTGGTTTTAGAGGCGATGGGAACTCCAAACATACACTGTTTCCGTTTCAGATTTATTGAACGATCATTTGTTGATGGGTACTTTTTGCAATCCAAAATTTGGTTAGTTAGCAATAGCTAGAAACATACAAAATTGCTTTATAATAATATAATCTTGGTTGTTCTCTCTTGAGTGCTGAAAATTGCTGTAGATAAATATAATCTTGCTTAATTTATAAGTGCAGCAAGACTGTGCATGTAACACAACCTTGATTTGGTTTTAGAGGTGATGGCATGGGAACGACAAACATACACTGGTTCTGTTTCAGATTTATTGAAGGATAATTTGTTGAATGCTTTAACCATGCCAATATTTATCATGTCATTTGATGGGTACTTTTTGCAATCCNAAATTATCCATTGAAACCTAGAAATTCAAAGAATACATAAAAATATTTATTTTTCTCAATCTAATGAACAAGATCCAAGAATAAGATTAGTTGATAAAGCGAAAAGAGTAGAAGTAGGTCTGGGGATCAACCAGTAAGGAAAGAAGGGATCATTTCATCTGCGAATTGAAGAGTTCTTTCAAAAGATTCATCTACGTGATTGATAAGTCGTAAGACAATTCATAGTTTAGGTTTAGACTTCTTTCAAAAGATTTACTTATCTAATTGATGAGTCATAAGACAAAATATGGTTCAAGTTCAGACGATTATCTTATTTATACAAAAAAAAAAAAATATATATATATATATATATAAACATAAACATACATTTCAGTGATTTTCAATAAAGCTCAATACATAGTTAGTGTTTTTTTATCCATCTTCACGGTCCAGCCCCTCATAAGAATTGAACCTAGGATTGTAGGTTGAAACCTTTTAGCTTCAACCCTCTAGATTCGCCCTTACCACTTGGCTATCCGTGGGTGGGTTGCATAGTCAGTTTTATGAAGATGAATGACTAAATATAAGTTGTTTTATGTATAAGCTTATTTAAAGTGTTAAAAATATCAAAAACATCTCCATGTTATTTGATGAAACTCTGGTTTAGTAATATAAGACTAGAAAGCTCTTTTCACATTTTTGTAATCAACCAACTACCCATTTTATCATAACAGTTTTATTTTCATAATATGTAATTCTGACTGAAACTATCATGCTCTTCTAATTAAATTAATGCTCTTTTAGTTGATATTTGTGAAGTGTGTATCATGCTCTTCTAATTAAAATTTGCCCAGTGTGTATCATGCCCTTTTAATTTCACACCTTTTTTTAATACAATATGATAAAAATAAGAATCTACAATCTAAACAAATATTAATGTTTTGTGGTGCAGTTGGTTTCACTAAAGGTCTCCAATTCGAGTCTGGGCAAACTAAAAATTAAATTATATTTTCATTTTCAATTTTTACATAACATCTTGAGTCAGTTTGGGTCTATGACACGTATATTCTTTTTACCTTTGAAGACATGTCATATTCTAGACGGTAGAATGGTTTCTTGGATTCTAATTGGTGGTTGATGATGTCAGCATATGTTAGCCCCTATTTTAGGCGTATCACTTCTGATCATGATCTGCTCAATTAATCATCCCTACTAACATTCTCATTTGATCATCATCCCAACCCGCTAACTAATGGTACCTAAAATTTGCATTCTCTCTTTTATCAGATTTGCTTATATAACGTCAACTTTAATGCATGATTATTAATATTTTGATTCAATAAATTGTATGGAAATTTCTAACTGATCTAAAATTGGATCAAAATTTCTTAATTTATATGGGAATTTATATTAATTGTTGCAGTATATGGAAATTTATACATCTTTATCACAGTATTGTTGTTCTAATTGATGCTGCAGCCGGTTCACTTGATGCCTCTGGCTCCACATTGCTGAAACGTAACACAGGTGTGAAGGTTTTTCGGGGGCAAATAGATATGATGAAATTGTAAACCAAATTGAACACCAACATGAGACTAGTAAAGAAGCTTCTCCTGTAGAATACATGACCAAATCAAAGCTGTGGCCGGCGACATCGATAGCTCAAACACCATTAAATGACACACAGCCAGTCCCAAAACCAAGCAGGATTAATCAACTTAATCTTTTCTCTTGCAAACAAGTGAATTCCTTCATAATCGCTTCGCAAAATACTCGAAGCTTTTGTGCTTTCATCATAGCCCTTTTCGTAGTTCTATCCTACATTGGTTATCCATATTTTGGAATGAATATAGTGAGCTAAGAAGGAATGTCTTGTAATGTTTATGAGCATCATCTAACAGGTTCAAAACTTTAAAACACTACGGAAAGTAAGGAGAAATACTAAACATATCAAATTATGCCTTGGTGTAGCTTTTGTTGTAATGTTGTTCAATTCTATTTATGTTGTGAGTGTTTAATTAGTGATATTATTGCTGGATTTATTGAAACCATGGAGTTAAATTAATATATATGTTGCTGTCATTGCAGCAAAATCTGGAGAAAATTAAGAAGTCCTTCAATACAGCCGCAGTAGTTGGAAAATTTAATGTGCAGGTTGTACTTGTATATCTCAACTGCTTTATTCTTCTAACCTATATTTCTTGACATGATTGACTCCTTGGAAATGCATTAGTAACTGATCATGGCATTGATTGAAATTTCTTTTTATCTTGATTTACCATAATTTTCAAGTAGGATGTTGTCACATTTTATATTGTTAGCAAAGAAGATCTAGAGAGATTTGGGTTCTCTCAATTAAGTAGACGTTTTTTGGTTGAAGGTTGCTTGCTTGAAAGCCGAAAACAAATACTTGAAGATGAAAGGCGCACGCGTTAAGTCCGAAGAAAATTATTGTATATCTCACGTTGCACTACAGCAAGGACCTGGCACACCCCTTCCAAATCTAGTTCTACTTCAATTCTGTGTTTAACAGGAGGTCATCTTTCCAGAGCAATTGTCCACATGCATCAGAAACAAAGAGCTAACAATGTTTTATTGTGCTTGACCATAAATAAAAGTGGAGTATATAAACTGTTTGTTAAAAATGCCATGCTTTTACTAATTTATACACTTGATTGCAGAAGTAATAAGTTTTCTTGCAGTAGATGTGTCTAGACCATCTTCACTAACATTCTCCTCTGTTTATGACTCTCCCAGCAAGAGTATTTTCATAACGTTCTCCTCCGTTTATGACTCTCCCAGCAAGAGCATTTTTATAGCATTTCTCACTCTGTTTTTTATTCTCCCGGCAAGTGCATTTTATGTTAGTGAGTGAACAAAAACTCCTTGAAGCAGTTCTGGTGAGAGAAATCAACATACATAGTCATAAGTCAGTCTACTGATAGCAGAAAATCAGCGACTAGTACTTCAGTATTTAATTAATGAAAAAGAGCTTTCATATTATTGCTAAACAAATAAAAAAAATCATGCATGAATTGGCATAAATAAAGGCACCAATGTTTGGCCTAGTTTCTCCCACATTGATTAAGCAACAGAAGACACAAAGCAGAATAGAGCTATAAAAAAACAATTGAGCCAAAGAACAAAGCATACCTTTCTCGGCCTTTTGGCTAAGATCAAGTGTAGTATCTGTTCTTATCAGTTTAATATCTGATACGTGGGACATAGTAACACATGATATTAAATTTATTTTTTTAGGGGGAGGATCCACTACAGTAGCTTGCTACTGGGTTCCTCAAGCGTCGCCCATGCGTTGCACTACTGCAAGGGCCTGGCGCACCCCAACCAAATCAAGTTAAATTTCATTCTCTTTTAAGTATTTTTATGCAAAAATCAATTAAAAAAAACAAAAAGCATACATTTCGGTGATTTTTAATAAAGCTCAATGCATAGTCAGTGCTTTTTTTATCCACAGCCGCGGCACCTCAGTAGAATTAAATCTGGGGTTGTGGGTTGAAGCTAGACCTAGCAAATCTGGGGTACGAGTTAATGTAATTAAGACCTGTGGAATATTGCTCATATCCGGCCCGTCTGTTATTTTCATGGGTGGGCCGGGTGATCCCCGTGGGTACCCACAGGTGCCCGCACACTGTAAAAAAAATAATCAATAAGGTAAAGTGAAGACCGAAGAAGAAGAAATCAACAATTTCTTTAAATCCCAAACAAGAAATCAATAATATCACATATTCTCCTCTCTTAAACAACAAATATTTTCCAACAAAGAAAAACCAATCAACATCCATACCAACAAAAATAAACCCACAAATCAACAAGAGAAGGCATGATCAAGCGGTGAAGTGATTGCCATTCGCCTACAGCCTTCCACGGCGCCAACACATGCTCACCCTCACCGGTGGCCACAATGGAGATTATAGATCTATAGAGGGAGAAAAAGATGAAGAAGAATTGGAGGGAGGGAGAAGAAGAAGAAGTATGAAAAAGTCGAGAGGGAGAAAAAGACAAAGAAGAATTGGAGAGAGGGAGAAGAAGAAGAAATATGAAAAAGTGGAGAGGGAGGAAAAGAGAAGAAGAATTGGAGAGAGAGAGAAGAAGACGACAATGAAAGAGAAAAATGTGGATATGAAAATAAAAAAGAAGAAACCGTTTAGGAAAAATTTTTAAAAATAAAAGAAACAGGTGACCTGCATGACCGGATACCAGGGGTATTTAAAAAAAATGTAAAAATCGAACCGAATCGAAAAATCGATTAATTGAAAAAACGATTCGATTATGGTTCAAAAAATTAAAAAAACTAAATTTTGGATTCGATTACCAGTTCAGGAGAAATTAGAAACGGTTAATCGAAAACCGGTTTTTCAAATATATATATATATTAAATAATAACCTAAACTAAACCCTAGTTCACTCAATCTAAAATCCCAACCCAAATTTTTTTTCTTAGTTCCCAATGTATTGTTTATATTTATAATTTAATTTAGGACAAAATTTTAAAAAA